CGTATAGTGGAACGCTGACAATAACAGCCTGTTAAATCTCTGTAAATGTAACATTCGTTCGTCGAAAGAGACAAAACTCTCATCAACAGTCTGTACAACGGTTTTGCCACAAGACCGTACTGCAGTCCTCCAGATCTCGCGATTGCCCCCTCTATTAACGCAAGAGTGCAAAATCACTCCCATTAAGGTTCCAAAACAGACTGAAGAAGCATGAGTGATTTCTAGCATTATGCAGCACTTTATACATCTACAGTACATAATAAAAGGGTTCCAAACAAGCGTAAACGGCGAAAGTTTAAGTCAACATTCCTTACCTTGTTGATGATGTAAACCATGCGATCAGACCATGTTAATGTTCATTAATGATTACACCATGGTACTTACCATTTTTAAGCCGGGTGACCTGCGTCTAATTGTATTAGTTTCTTCTGTGGCAGTGCTGACGAATTCGTGGTCCAGCACGTTTAGAAGAATAAAGACACACCAGACATTTGCTCAGATTAAGGATAAATTAGTTTGAGCTGTACTAGTCTAACAGTTTCATCGTGTCGTTCTTATTTTCTTAGAAATCTTTGCGGTTTCTCACAACTGCAGCGACGGTACTCTCAACCGCATATGTCAAACAGTCATGGTAGGTCAAGTTTAAAGTTTTTCTTGTACACTACTAAAATTAGTGGGAGAGGGATCAACCTTGCACAACCTCGTCTTTGCTGGCAGCTGTTGAGTTGGTGCCGCTTACGAGTAATAACTGTTTACGCTCAAATAGGTACACCGCAATATCGTGAAGAACGCAGCACTTATCCCTCAGGACAGTGTTGAACGCCAACATTTGCAAATTAATGATTTTTGTCTGTTGATTAATTATTTATAACTTATATATTTGGCTAATTTTGCGGTAATAATTATTGACAGTATAGTTCTTGATTGAGTTCCATGTTTCTTTATTCGTTTACTTTCTTCATAACTTCTTTATTTGTTCCTCTTGCTTGTTGTTCTCTATTTGTTCCTTGTTGCTATTACCATATGTTTCAGCGTCTGGAAATGATTCTTTGGCTGTTAGCCATTGCTGTAAATTTTGCGACCGTATTTGGCGTGTACCAGTACGCTAAAGGCGATCGTTTGTCACAGGCGGTAATCACGACTTATGCAGCAGCATCGCGAGTCACTTTCCCATTAACCGTCGTTGTTATTATTTATCTGTGCATCGGCAACTCATCAGGTTTGTTTTTTGTTCTGTTGTAAAAATCGAATCGTCGAATCGAACCACTTTCCAAGTTTAGGAATTGTGAATCAATTTCTTTCACTGCCAATCTGGTGTTCTCTAAGCAGGCTGTCGTACTGCGCAGCTTTTGTCAACCCCATCATTGCTGGAGTACTCTTCCTTGGAACCAAAGCACCGTTCAACACCACCTACCTCAACGTCGTAAGTTTGGTCGCAGAAAATGTTATAAGAATTTTATATATTTGAATTTGTCATATTAATTGTTTTCCGCTTTGATTAGACAAAATTCATTCTGTTTAATTTTATTTGTTTGCAACTGTTGCGAATTATAGGTTATATTTCTAGATTTTTTTGCTACTTATTTAACCTTCATTGCTAGCCTAAAGTATTGCTTCCGTCCGTATTATTAGATACTGTGGCACAGTGGAAAACAGGTCGGTTTGGAACTGCAGAGGTTCCGAGATAAAATTCGGAGAACGGACTATCCTGGTCTTAATTTCCGAATTTCATTGAGC